ATAATCATTTTTCAATGACGTTAATAACGTCTCCACCCACTTCCATAGCAAACTGTGTGGACGATTAGTTCTCTTGATCTGAGAAACGGAAGTGAAAATCCAGTCCAATGGAAACCAAAGTAAAGTTCCTTCTTACTCCTTTTGTTTTCTGTTAGCTACTTCTCCCCCACTTTTACTACTTTTCACTTTTGAGATGACTTCTACTGATAATCACTTAGGGCAGGGGTGTCAAATTGCCGGCCCGCGGGAAACCTCGCCCACCCCATTGCCGGCAATTGCAAAAAACTTCTGATATGTTGCGTGACGTCACATGACATCACGAGTTTGACATGTCTCACTTAGGGTGTTTTGAGGGAGCTTAGATGATTACCTGATGGAAATGTTTATCTATTGCACTTGCTATTATGATTCTTTTGTAAACCACACTTCCAGATTCAAAAAGAATATGCTTTGGAATATTTCTTGCTAGGGCTATTTACTTTCTGCCTTATTGATGTGCTTTGCAAAGGAATCTGGTTAGCAACTGCAGTATGCTGAGTGAGCTAGACCAGAGGTCCCCAACCTTTTGGGCACCAGCGATCGGTTCCATGGAGAGAGGTTTTTCCGCAGACCGGAGAGGGTGTGGTTTTGTGTGGTGCCAGCATCCTGCAGATGGGGCTTTCCTTATTTGTGCGGACTGGTTGCTGGCATGCTGTGGCCCAATACTGGTCCACGGACCGGGAATTGGAGACCCTTGAGCTAGACTGAGCAATGGTCGAGCTGCTCTTCTGTGCACAAGATAAAATAAAATCAGATGCATTTTAAAAATAATGGTACATACAACCAAGAGAACTTTGAAACTTATTTTTTAATGAACATTTCATACATATGTGAGAAGGAATTCTTTAAAGATCTAATACAGTGAATTGAGTTTGCCTGTCCTTTTCTTCAGCATAAAAATGGTTATAGAGATAATATTGTGTCCTTACTTATTTAATATTCCAATCACAACTGCAGATAGCTTTACAGTTGTTAAAATATTTACAATATTTTTAAGAGAGGAAATAATTGCCTGTATTAGCTATATATGTACAATTCATTTTTCTTTCCAGACTCATGTGATTGTTTTATCTAACTTGGTCACTTAATTTGATTTGCACCTAACATTTAATAATAAAGTTAGTGTTCTGGGCTAACATATCAACTTTCCTCTTGATGTATCTATGTATCTCTCCATGAGAAGGCAATAATGACTCCTTATTCTATTGAAAGTCTGTTTTATCTATTTCAGAGAATAAAACAAATAAGATTTTTTTTCTTCTTACAGCAGTAATTTTTCTTGGGGCATTAAAAATATTTCCTAGAATTAATGTTAAGAACAATCTTATCAATACTAGGTGTCTTACTTTGATTAACATTAATGTGAAAAATAGCCTCCAGATATTTTGAGAAACGTGCCACACAATTCAGAGCAGATACAAGCCTTTTTGCATATCCTCTTTCTCTTTCCCACACATTTTCACTCACAAGGTGGCACTCACAATCTAGCTCTCTGCATGTACTGTATTTGTTAAAAATGCATATGAAGCTTCAGAACATGAATTTTAACCATACTCATTAAAAAGGGGCCAGATCATTGTGAAAGAATCATTTTATTCTAATAAGAAGTGCCACACTAAACAAGATTCAGACCCTTGTTTTTGTTTTTAAAAATGCCAGATATTTTTATGGTTTGTGTTGGCTGAAGCAATAGCAATAAAGTTTAGACTTATATACCACTCCACAGCATTTTCTGAGAGGTTTACAAATGTCAGCATTTTGCTCCCAACAATCTGGGTCCTCATTTTACCGACCTTGGAAGGATGGACAGCTGAATCAACCCTGAGCTGGTCAGGATCGAATTCTGCATTCTGACTGCACCACCAGTCTGACTGCTCCTTTCCCATTCTGTACCTTTCCCATTCTTCACTCCTCACTTTAGCTTGGTGCAGCTATCACTCTAATTCTAAAGACTGGTAGTGCATCTTAAAGCTGCTGACGGGAAGAGATGTGAATGTTTTTGCCACAAGAATTCCCAGGAAGCTCTGGCTATGAGTTCCTGGAATTCTAGGCCTAAGTAAAACTGAAGTTTGGTAAAGGGTTCTATTTAAGGGGGGTGGGTGGGCAGCTACTTTAGAGTTGTTCAAAGTTTATATAAAAATCATATTGAGAATGGATTATTATAAAACCCCTAAATATGGCTATAAGTGTGGTAAATATAACAAGTTGCTATTATCACAGGCATCACTAGATTGTTAGGATTTTTTTCAGCAGAAAATTTGGAAATGATGTATTGATTGAAAACCCTACATTGATCAGATTTAGACTGTTAAAAGATTAGGAGCAGATAAACACATGCTTTATTCATAAGCAAACTTCCTTAGTAAGAACTAAGGAGCAAGCTTACCGATATACACAACAGGGTCATGTTTATTTAAAAAAATGATGTACAATATGCCATTTTAAGAAAAGATGAGGCTTCTTTAAAGAAAAAACATGTGAAAGGGAAAATTCTTTAATATTTCAGAAAGAAAAAATCTTTAAGGAAGGAAGATACAGCATGTGTGCTCATGCCTACTCGGAAGCATCTTTCTGCTTTTGGACTGAAACATCCAAAGATTGGATGTTTCAAGGTTATGAGCATTTATTCATGCAGTTATGATAAATGAAACCAGATTCAATTATATATAATGATCTTGATTTTTTTTTCAAGTTTATGTGGAAAATAAAGTTTTAATGAATATCAGCAAGATTTGCTAGTTCATTCAGGATGTGAAGTATTTTCCAAATTATTTTGAAGCATGTATAGTAATAATTGCTTTATTACACCATAGAAAATACTGCTTGCAATAATCTATAAGCAGCCAAAATCTATGAAACTTTTACCATCCCTTATATTCTGTACCAATATGGAAGTGTATCTCAGCATGAATGTGTCATTTAATACCTTAACTGATTATCACTGCTAGATCCATTGTTCCATGAATTTTAAAGTCATTTTAATTATCGATCTAAGCAAGTGGTCAGTGTCACTGGTAGACCAATGGAGAACATACTACAAGTGCACACTTAACAATTAGTACCATTAGTCTTATGAAGTTACAAGTAAAAGTAACACCAGAAATTGGTTGAAAGTTCAGTTAATCAGGGAAAGAAAAATAGTAACTAAAAAGTAATAATTTATTAAAATACTAATAGTAACAATTTTTATTTATTATATGCTATCCACAGTCACCTTTGGTGAGATGGTCAACTAAATAAATTTGAGAAATAAACAAACACAAAAATAAATAAAGCAATAAACAAAGTAATAAGGTAATGGTGGTGGCCACCTCCATGTGGTTGAAGTCCTGCCATTTTTTGCTTACATCATGAGGCAGGGTTTTGATCACATGCTTGTAACTGCCATCTTGATCACTCCCTGCAGGCCTTCTTGTTTTTTCTACAATTCCACAATGTTTATTTGGTACTCTCAAAAATCCAGATATATATTTGTTTGGTCTTATTGGTGGAAGATAATTCCCAATAGAGACCTAACATTTTGGAGCAATGCCTTATTTTTTTCCATTTCATTACTTTTTTTGTGTACTGAATTTAATACACACTGAATCTCATATTATCCTGGGGGGGGGGAACCTGTATGTGCTTAGGCTACCACACAAGGTAACTGATAGGGATGCGTTATGTTCTAAAAAAACAAAACAAAGGCAAAGCAGTATCTCATTTCCTTGGTCACGAGCAGCCGTTTTATGCAACGCCTTTTATCGTGAGGAAAAGTATATGAGCAGGATGGAAACAGGCACTGAAACCATAATGAATTGCCAAGAAATTTCTTTGATTTATACCTCATCTTTTTTTATTTCTAGAATACTCAAGGGTGTGTGTAAGATCCACGTTTTAAAGCAAATTCTGGTTTAAATTGAGACGCGGGATAAAATAATAACCTGGAGACTTTTTTTCCAGGATGTCCCTACCCAACAGAGCAGCGCCGGGACGATGCAAACGTTGACTGGGATGTCTGGAACTTCCGGCCCCCAAGATACCCCCCCAACACCCCCCCCCGAAACACTCACAGACACAGATACACGAGAAACTATTCTCCCCTCCTGGAGGATCGCCTGCGAAAAGGCGCCTGGCGGGCAGCAGAGGGAGCTGCCAATCCTCAGCCTCCTTTCTCTCTTCCTCCACTGCGGCCGAAGGAAGGAAACGGCCGCTCGTACTTGGTGCCGCTGGGATGCACTTCGCCGTCCTGCTGCTTTTGTTGGCCGGGTCGAAGGAGAGAGGAGGTTTGAACCGCGGGGGGAAGCGGGCAGACGGTAAAAGAAAGCAGCCAGCGGGACCGAAGTGAAGACCGATTTGGAAAACCAGGGATAGTGGAGCCAGCCTTTAGGAGGCTTCTCCCGGGTCAGATAAGAACCATCCCTGACCTCTCCAAACACTGAGCCCAAAGCCTTGAGCCAAACATCTGCCTGGTTCTTCCTAGCGCTTCATCAGCCTACGTTGGTTTAAGGTTTTAAAGCGACCATTCTTCAACCTGGTGGCTTTCGGATATTTTGAACTTCAGTTCCCGCAGTTCCCATCCATTAAGGATGAAGGGTAGGCTAGGGTAACAGTTATGAGAATTGAAGGCCAGCATAGCTGGAAGGCACCTGGTAGAGGGGTGGGAGGAGAGAAAGAGAACGTGAAATAGAAACATGAAATTTGGCATTTTTTTATTATTGCTCTTAAGAGAATGATGGGAACCAATGGTGGGATTCAGCCAGTTCACACCAGTTCGGCAGAACCGGTAGCTAATTTTTTGTTGCCCAGACCCAGAATGGACTTCCAGAAGCAGCATCCACACAGAGAACTGGTTGTTCACATATTTGAATCCCACCACTGATGGGAACCCGACACTTCTGAAGGGCACCAAGCTGAGGAAGGAGAGGAGAATTTAGTTGTAGGTGAAAGTTCTTCCTTTGATATATTCAGAATAATTTGTCAGTGTCAGATAGCTAGTGAATATGCAGAATTTCATCTATCCAGGCATTAATCCTGTTCCTAAACTCATAGGCACAATTTCAAAGATCAAATCTTTATGTGAAGCTCCAAATTTGAGATAACAGGCATTTCCCCCCTTCCACCCATTCTTTCTTGCTTTCCATGGATATTTGAAAAAGGCTGCCCTGGAACTGAGGGGACTTACCTTTTTTTGGCAACTGTAGCATTGCTTAAGATTAATTATCTCTTTACAATGACAAGAAAATGAAGAAGTGGTGGAAGGATGCTGAAGGGCTAGTCTCTCTATTAATCTGTGATTACTGTATGATATTAGCTCCTGTTCAGTCTCCCTGTTAGCAAAGTGTGATTGTGAGGTATCTTCACACATGGCATTGCATCATAATGTGGCTTATGAGGGTTTGGCATAATGTTTTATATACATTATTCACTGTGATTTGTAAACCCAATTTATGGTGTAAAACAGTGTCTGAACCAGATCATTCTCTTTGCATATGTATATCTAGTAGGAGATGGCTAGTTCTTTTCTGCTAATTACATTGTTGGGAATTGTTTACTTTGGAGATTATTTTTGAATCTTCTTGCCTGAAATATAAACCATTGTTTTTAACAGTTAAGCTCCAAAGGTTAAGGTGTAGAACTGGGTTAAAAGCATATGCCAACCTTGGCTATGAGCATACCTGACAGGTTTTCTATGAAAATTTGCTATAGTAAGATCATTGCTTTATTTGCTATAGTAAGATTATTGTAGTAAGATCATTGCTGGTATGGACTAAACATTAACTAGCAACATACAGCAGAATAACAGGAATCTAAGGAGATATTGTAAAGGCAGAAAGCCAAAGCTCAGACCTTCAGCCTCATAAGAATTGTAGGCTTACCTATATAAATAATATTGCTTGCTTTCTCTAATACTTCTTTAGCTAAGCTTTATAGATGTCCAGTTAAGTTTAGGGTGTAAATATCGCTGAATAAATTTGGGCATCCTCCTAGAAGGGAATGAAGAAAGATATGATATCATAATTTGTTTGACTAAACCAAATTGTTTTGTTTTTATTAAAGGATACAAGACGTTAATTTTTACCAATATTCACTACCAGTTTGATGTTGTTAGAGTTTTCTCAGAGGCCTTTCAAGAACATGCAGACCCTGAGGTAATGAAGTGTATTCTACTTTAATAATACATTGCATTGATTTCCCTCCCACTGTATTACTGTTTTAGTTTTACAGCTGTTTGATTTTTTTTTCTGATTTCACATTCTTTGTCTCCATTTCAAACTGTAAAAAAATGGTGATAAAATATAGTCTTTTTTAAAAAAAATGTTAGAGTTTTTGAGATGTTAGAACTAAGACAATGAACTTAAGGAAAAGTACTAATTTTCTAACACTGTAGTCACTTCTCTAAGAGTAAGATCCCCACTAAACTCAAAAGGCCGTCTGAATTTGTATGTGAAGATTGCAGTGTAAGACAAATCAATTAAATTAATAATACGACTTTGAATAATAAAGAGACTTAGATATATTTAGTTAAATAGCAAACAATAAAATGTACAGTACATTAGTATGGCTTTCAAATTCTCTTTTTCAACATAAGGGAAAAAGTAATCTCTTTCTATTAGTATAATAAATTGCCAATAAACTGTAACATCAATGAGCAATATACAGATGTGAAATTCTCTGAGTTTCTATAGATTTTTAAAAGAAAAAAATAAATACTTTTAAAGAAAAAAGTTTTGTCTGTTATTTAAATTTCCAAAACTAAAATAAAATTTAATGTCATATCTGTATAAGCAGTATTTTGCAATATCTGTTGTAATATGGGATACAAGCTGAAGGCATTTGAAGGTGATTAATTGATTCACATCTGATAATCTTTACATTCTAGTAAAAACAAATATATTCCAAAAACAAAATCTCATCTTCAGTAAATCACATTATATTGAGGTATTGAAGGGAGATTGGGAGACCTGTGTCATGTGTGGCCTCAGCTGTATAAAGTCACTCAGTGATTTGGGGCCAGTCATTCTTTTTCAAGGCAAGTTGTCTCACAGAGGTGGTATTGTGAGGATAAAATGAAGTAACATCCTAAGTCTACTATTTAACACCTGAAAGTCCTATCTTTTATACATAACAGGTACTATCTAAAATTGCAGATGTGAAAGATTCCAGTTTTTCTGCAATCAGTCCATCTCACTGTTTCTTAAATGTACAGTACCTTATATACATATTTGGGATATCTACTTTGTTAATTAGCACTAGGCAAGTATTTAGAAGAGAGCAGATGTGTGAAAGCATAACCCTTGCCTCTGATCACCCTTAGATATGTTTGGATGAGCGCCTGGTGAGAACAGGAGAGTTGGGTAGATATGAGTGTGTGGCTAGGCCAGGAGGTCTGTTGAGTGCTGTAGGCAGAAGCCATTCTGAGTAGGTACTCCTTGATGGGGCAGGTAAGTAGGCTTTTGGGTGACTGGAAATTGGAAAGTCTCTAGCCTGGGGACGGGTATGGAAAATTAAGGGTGTACCTTCTTTGCCCGTGTTATACCTTTGCTCTGCAAGCTGCACTGGCTTCTAGTTTGTCTCCACATGTAATTCAGGGTCTTGGTTATTACCTACAAATCCCTACATGACATGGAGTCATGATATTTGAGGGACCGTCCTGCTCCTATCATTTCTACACATCCCCTTAGATTGGGGAAGAGGGTCAGGTCAAAGTTAGGTCGTTATTTTAATCTTTTCTCTGATTTCATAATACTGAATACATTGATATATTGCCTTCATATTTCGTTAATGTTTCACTTTTAGGAAGTTACATTCAGTCCTTTAATTTTCAAGAAAAATTAGTTACACAGAATGTGTATTCACATAATATGGAGAATTACTTTTAAAATCCCTTAGCTACTGTTATTTATATTTTAGGTAAAATATATGACAACAAAACAGGATATTCATATTAATCATTGTAACTATATAACCTATACCTATAATGATTCCATATTTTTAAAACACAAAATATAAACATATCTTAAAGGGTTAAAATGTTATCTTTCATTCTAATGCATATTTGTTCCTAAATATTTCTGAGTTATTTTTCCTTGAGTTAAACATTTTTCTATATCAAGAATCAGTTCTTTTGTATTAAAAAATTAAGTTATATAAATAGTATAAAGAGCTTTATAGCATCTTAAAGAAAAAAATGAGCTAAACAAAATTATTTTTAGAGTTATTTATTTATTTCAAAGTATGTTTTATATAGTAAGCTATCTATCTGGAAATTATTCCAAAACAACTTTACAAATGCCATTCTATAAATGATAATAATTAAAATATAAAATATTCCATCCAAATACAATATTTACAAAGAGTATAACTCTGTGAAAAAGATTTGAATGAAATAAACCAGGGTTGTACAAGAAAGAACATTGCATTTATGCTGGAAACTGCTTTGCTCTGTTGAGCCGTGTGCTGTTTTATATTGGAAGATCTTAGATGGAAAGAAGAATTGGAAGAAGTAAGAAGTAACAAACTCTTTCTGTCAGGAAAATAGCAGTTTCCTCTTTCCACTCCCCCCCCCCCCGCTTCCAATGCCATTAACATTTGGATAATGGTCAAAAGGATGCGACATGATACGCATACAGAACAAATAGAGTAAATTAAACTCGGGAGAACTGTGGCAAATCTCTTTAAAAAGCTCAGTTGTTCGATTCCATATATTTAAATGTTTTAGTAATAGGCATCCATTCTTATAATGTGAAAATGGCAAATTATTATAAAAAATAAATGTGATAATTGTTTTTGCTTTCTTCTGTTATGTCTATTTGCTAATATTCCTCTTTTCCAAAACAAATTCTATGCCCACCTATATGTCTTCCTCAGTCTCGGATTTCTACCTGAGGCCTAGGAGTTTGAGAGTTCTACTCAGTTATTTTGGCTGTTCCTAGCACTGCACTCTTCTGGACAGAGAGCTGTGATGTTTTTCATGGGATCTGTTGGAACCACTTTTCCAGTTTTGGTGTCACAGCTCAAATGGTCCTACCGTCATCTTCTTGGCCTTTACTTTCCACATCCTCTCTAGTTCATCCTTCAGGCCCTGGTACTTCCCCAGCTTTTCACCACTGCTGTCTTCTGGTTCTTGTTTACAACCACGAAGTCTGTTTGATTGGCTTCCATATATGTATGTATGTATGTATGTATGTATGTATGTATGTATGTATGTATAATTTTATTAATTATGAGACCACAGGTTTTTATTTTTTTCCAGATTGAATACTTAAGAGCTTTAAACTCCTTTTAAACTTTGGTGTTGGACTTAAAAATGAACAATAACTATACAAAAATGTCGAATTTCAATCTTTAAAAATGTTTAAGCGCTGTGGGTTAATGTCTACAATATTTTCCTTGCTTTGAGTTTGCCTTTCATATGTGTCCAAATAGAATAATTTGGATCTGTCTTTTTAAATTGATGTATTCATGCTGGGTGTGTTATTTTGTTTGAATTGCAGACCCATCTGTGAGGTTGGAAGCAAATTATCCCTCTCTGTGTGGGAGCTTGGACAAGGGAAAGAACATATTCAAAATTGATAAAAGGATTTGTATGGGATTGAAAGCAGAGCCAAATTTGAAGTAATATCCCTGAACCTGAATAGATGGCTCTTCAGCTTCATCCCCCTGCTTTAAATATCTCTCCAGTAGAGGCTAAGAAATTGTGTTTTAATGGAACACCCTGGATTTGGCATCTTCTTGGAGAATGTGTCAGGAATGCATGGGAGTATTGGAGCATTCTGCTGGGACTGATCTCCATTGCCTGCTTTCTGTTTGCTGCACTGCCGTGAGTTGAAATCTTTCAGTATTTTTCAGCTTTATACATGAGCAATCTTGCCTGAGGCTTTATTCAGAAATTGCCAGTTTGGTTTATTCTTTGATGGATTTTTGTTTCTTTCTACATATTATAAATAGATTAGCCAGAGCAGCATGTTTCTTCTGTTTAAGGTACTGTGATGGTTGATGAATTATTCTATTGCGGTTGTGTCTTGAAAACACCAATCTATGTTATCTGAAACTTCTTCCTACAAGAGCAGTGGACACAATGTTTCCTCCTGCTTTATTTTGGAGGAAAAATGGATACACAACTATTTTTTGAAAATCAAGAAATAACCATTCTTGGCATATGTGGGATGCATTGCTCTGTATTCACTGGGCTCTTTCTGGACTCAGTTCCACGTTATGATTATGTGTGTTTTGAGGGAAAAATCTCCACAATGGGATGAGGCCGAATAATTAATAGCTCAATATTTTCTCAGTCATGAAATCCTAATGAATAATCCCTTAACTTCCATGCTTTGCTCATAGAAAGCCATTATGGTGTAGTAGTTAAGGGGCTGAACTAAAAATGGAGAGACCCAAGTTTTAGCCCTTCCTTGGACATGGAAGCCAACTTGGAGCAAGTCACTATCTCTCAGACCTAAATAGGAGAATATATTGATACTTTTGCTGTTTGAAGGAGGTGAGTGCAGTGCAAAACAAGTGGACTTTGCCATAAAACAGGACAAGAAGAACAAATTCATTCCTTGCTTGTACACTATGAATACAGGTAGTCCTCGATACACAATCGCAGTTGGAACTGGAAGTCTGTCATTAAGCAATACAGTCATTATAGCATCTGATTCTACAACCTTTTTTGCCACAGTTATTAAGCAAATCACTGTGTTTGTTAAATCAGCTGTCAAGCACCCAAATTTTGATAATGTTGCAATGGTCAGAAGTGGAAAGAGCAGTCATATCACTTTTTTTCAATGCTCTACGTTCAAACAGTTGTTAAATGAATGGTCATAAGTCACAAATTAATTAATAACTTGCAAGAGAAGGTATTTCTTGTACTCTGAAAATAATTACTGTCAATATTATATGGTTCTATTCAGTTCTATTTCAGAGGGCTCTTTTCGTCTCTATACTACCCTTATCTTTGTTTTTATCTGAGTTGACTGACATGCATTTTATGAACTCTGAATTGCTGGACAGCTCAGTTGTTTTGTTTTTTTCCCCAGTCAGCTCTATGTAGCCTACCAGAATGGAAAAGTGGAGCAAGCACTCTCTTTGGGTTTTCTGCTGTGTTGGCTTGCAGGAGACCTCACCAATTTTATTGGGTGCTATTTGACAAATCAACTTCCAATACAGGTAAATTTAGCTGTATTACACCTGACAAGGTTAATACACATAAATATGCACTTTTGAATGTTCTTTTTATTGAATCTTCTCTAAAAAGAAAAGAACAAGACTGAGTAAAACTTTTGATATGTATATTATTATATATTCTATCAATTGATATAAGAAATTATGCTTGATTCTTTTTACTTTTTTCCAGACTGTAACTGCAATTTTTTATATTAACATGGACATAATTGTGATATCTCAGTTTTTCTACTATAAGTTAAAAAATCAGAAGATAACAAAATGTAAGTGTTTTCAATTGAGATCTTTGCAGTAGTGTGTAATTTGTTCAATATTTATATGTGACATTTCAAACTGCCCAAACTATGCAAATTTAAATGGCATGATGGAGTTACAGAGCAAGATTGTTGCATTTAGAATTCTGTAACCTTAGAATAGTGTACATGAAACATCAGCAGAAAAACATGTTGACAAGATCAAGATGAAGATAAAAGCCTGAATAACTCATCACTAGCCTGGTTGCTGAAGGATATTTTGTTGTACTTGGCAAATTACAGCATGAATTTGTCCACAGTAACAGCTGTATGTATTAGTCCACAAAAAGGAAGTATACATCACATTCCATTAGTGCCATACATTTAACATCATTTGTGATCTTACTTCATTTCAACAGCATTAGGGCAGTTCCTGTCTCCCATAAGGATATAAGAGTGAGATGTAATCCCCAAAGGTCCCTCTGTGACATATTGTTCTATGTATTAGGGGTGTATTTTTAATCCCCTCTTTTTTGAACATATACGTCAATTCAGTGGTAGACCGTTTTCATAACCCAGACTTTTAAACTATCAAGGTGCAAAATTCCTACAAGCCCTATGTAGGGTTGAAAAGAACAATGACAGCAATATTATGGTACTGCAGACAAAATCAACTGGTTGTAAATTTTGAGAAATCTAAAATTCTGGTCTTTGCAAGAGACATCCAACTATCATAAACATAGTAGAGCATATTTCGTTTAAATACTTTGCAGTGGTTTTCCATTCTAAAGGAACCTGGAATGAGCACCAGAATTAAGTAACGTAGCTAACCCTTAGATGCTTTTTCTAGATAAAGAGAGACCAATTAGTCCTGCAACATTTTTTGAGGTCAGTTCATTGGCCTAAATCTTTTACAATGCACAAGTGGTCATTTATGCAAAGGAGGATGTACTGGAATCGGTGCAAACAAAATTCTTGAAATCAGTCCTTGCTGCTCCCAGTGGAACAGCAAATACCCAGTTAAGGCTTAAGATAGGAATGCCATAATCCAGATTAAGGGGTTGAAGGAAGTGGTTGAATTAATTGCTGAAAATCCGATTCTTTCAAGCTGGGCTGACCCCCCCCTACTTTTAACTAATAATTTTCCTTCATCCTGGAAATAGGCTGTTGAGCAGAAGCTGGCATTGTACAGGTTTTACAGAGTATTCCTAATTTCTTTAAGATATGACCAAGTAAAGGATAAAGGGTATGAGGAAGCTAAAGTAATAGGTTGCCCCAATATAACAGAAATTGGATACAACAAAGAAGGAGAAGCAAAATACTTACAAAATCTTGACTTTCCCCAGGCTGAGGATAGCATTTTTCCAAGCCAAGGCATAATATTTTACCATCTGCATTGGTGCGAGGCAGATATTTCAAAACCCCATTAACCAAGCATACCTGCCTGTTTGATTACAAGGAATTCAAACCTATTTTTCATATATTGTTGCACTATAAATTCTATAAGGATTTCAGGTCTCCTTATGTTCTTCCCCTAATATTTAAATTCCAAGGAAGGTCAGATAATTTGTATGTGAATCATCTGGAAGATTCAAAATCCTTTATTACTTGGTCAGTAACCAAATGTTGAGTTGCGCAATGAAAATAAGAAATCTGGTCCCTGGAATAACCATTTTATATTATTTATCGAATAACCACTTTTATATTATTTATCACTTCAGTTTACTATGTTTTAGGTGATGTGTGTTTTTATTCTATATATTGCAGTATTTTAGATTTACATCTGCCCAGTTAATTAACATGTAATTATAATAGGTTATCTTACATCTTTTCAACCTCCTTGTTATGTTGGTATTTTTTTTCATCCCTTTGATTTTACTTTTGTGTTGTATATTTTAAAAATTTACGAGACATTGAACAAATAAACATTACTGCTGCTACATAGGGTTATTGCAAAATGTCTCCTGCAAGATCAATGATGATAAAACATTTGAGTCAATATAAAAACCCTATGCTGCTCAAGTATATTATAATACTACCATTTATATTGCAAACAGTTTTTAAAGCAATCAAATACTTTGTTTGCCCTATTTTTCATTTGTCTTTCAAGGCGGAATGAAGTATTCTTGTATAGCCTGGGTCATGATATGCTTACTACTCTGTTTACTCTTACCTACTCAGCTATTAATGAGAAATAAAGTCCAGAATACTATTTTGGGATCCAATAAGGTAAATCCTTGTTTTAAATTACTGTCAAATTTGCCATGTAGATACATTAGGCAAGCTAACTTTGACTGATCTCCCAAAACAAAAACAAAACCCTACACAGAAATGGAGCTAGTTAGTACTTGGATGGGAAATCCCATGATTGTAGGCTATAATGGAAGTTGAAAAAAAAAAACATTCTGGAAGAAGACAGCAGCAAACCCTTTCCATATTTTGCAAAGAAAACTCTGTAGACATATCACTATAGTCCTCAGAAGATGAACTGTACCTGAGGGAATACTTATCTTAATATTTATGAACTATAAAGTATTTGTTTTTTTAATATATTTTATTAATTGTTTACAATAACAATCTTTACTGCTTAGTGAACAATGTGTTTCTGGGTTCATATATTTAAAAACAATAATAATTAATTTCTATAATTGATCAATATGTTAGTTGATAATATATTTCCTTGGTCCTCTCTTCTTCCAGCAATATTTTCCTTTTGTTTACGTTAAAGAAATATAATTCCTAATACTTTCAATACATATAGAGTTGGGTATAAACATTTTTCTAGTATTTATAAATATAACAATAACATCAACATATAACATCTTTTCTAATCATTTTATGTTTCAATTGTATTTATAGAACTCATCTTATTAATTCATTATATGTCCTGTTTTCAAGATTCTTATTTAAGCTTAATTTCCCCTCAGTACTGAAACCACTCTTATCAGTCATAATTTTTTCAAAATTCATTACCTTTGAATATCCAAACTTTTCATTCAAATACACTGTCTCAATATTTTTACATTTCATATATTATAAAAATATTATACAACTTATATATTTTATCCCTCTTACTATAGGGCCCCTTTATGTCCAAGCTTTGTCTATTCTTTTGACCATGTTCAAACAAGTATTTAATCATATAATACGCCATCTAGCAATCTTACTATAGGGCCTCTTTATATCTAAACTTTATTTTTTAACCATATTCAAACAGGTGTTTAGTCATTTAGTATTCCATCTGGTAAGTTGAATCACATCTCTTAAATCTAGTTCTAATCTTCTTCTTTTGCCAGGTCACTTTCTAAATCAGTAGGTTTAGCTTGCCAAGTTATATTTTTGTAGATATTGTTGGAGATAAAAAAGACAAATTAAGTAGAATATTCGCTTTTTGTCTCCCACGTTTTAATGATTCTCCTGACAGCTCTTTAAACTTGTCCTCAAGTTTGTTTTGAAGTCCTGGAAGATAAAGCATCTTTTTTATTTCCTTTGTTGTAGCAAAATTTTGCGGATTTTCTTTTGTTTGTATTAAGTTGTAGTTCTCTTCATTTGTAGCTCATATTTAAGTCATTTTCCTCTGATTTGTATTCTATTATCTGATTTATTTGTTCATTCTTTATTGTTATTTTTTGAGTGTTGTTTAATTGTGAGTTTAGGTTAGAAATATGTTCATTTATGTTATCAAAGTTGTTTTTAATGTCATCATGATTTAAGACAATTATCATTTGAATCTATCGCAGCATTGCATATATTTTCTCTTTGAATGTATTTGCTTTGTCTTCAGTCATTATTCCTGCAGGTCTCTGATGTTCCATGCTGGGGTCTTCAGGAGGAGGTGTTAGGCGTGGTTTTCTGTCACTTTTAGATAAATATACAACCTCCATTTTTTCTCCCTCCTCTAAGTAGTCTTTCACCAGTGCCATAGTCTCTTTAATTAGCTTTATCAAACCAGCCCATCTTAGAATCCAATCAACCAATCAATCTTGTGTAGTTCTTATCTTTATATATAGTTTTTGTAATCCAATACATTTTCAGCTATCAAAGCATCACTGAAAACAGTATTTTGTAACAGTTCTTCTTTTAAGGGGTTTTATGATTATCAGCCAGCCAAGATTTCTGTCCAAAGTATTTAACCACGTGAAAGCTTTCCAGTAACTTTCCCTGTAGAAGATTAGCCAAAGGCCAAAGTTTTTCTTTCTCTGCAAACAGTTCTTAAACTTAAAAATGCATCTCAGTGTGATTATAATCCCAGAAGGTCAGCAATTTCTAAACATATATAGTTTCACTCTGTATCAAATAGCCCAATGCTTTGTTCCCAGCTGGGTTTTTTTTTTTTTTTTTTTTTTGCTATTTTTGGGCATCTTGCCAAATATTGAATCAATGTAGCTATAGTTTTCTCTAATCTTCCACTAGGTGTCAGTAGCTGTCCATTTCCCAACTTTTGAAGCAAAGAGTTATTATTATTTATATATATATAATTTCATCAATACTTTTTCAGGTATGGAGCTTTAACAGTTTTCTTACTTTTCAAATTTGTCCAGACTGTAGTATTTTTGACCTCATTTCAATATATTTTTGTTCTCCATAAGAGTTTAATTTGCCGCTTCCGTCTATGGGAGGGTGGGGGTGTAGTTCCTTCCCTTCTCACTTTGGGAGGATTTTTGCTTCTTGGGTATATTTTCCAGTAAATTAGATACAAAATAGGAGGGAGAAGATCGAATTCCTCACCCAGTTTCAAGCACGCTGTTCACTGTTATTCTGGTTGGTGCCTTTGGACTTTGGCTGCAAGTAGCTTGAGCTGGTCACTGAGGTGTGGCCAACCTTTCTCCTTTCGGGTTAGAGGGCTTCCCCTGGATCGAGCAGGATGACCACCATTGTTCCACGATGATTGGGGTGCCCCTCTTTCTTTGTCACATCTCCGGGGCAACTTTAGACCCATTTAGGGTCTCCTGGCAAGGTGAAACTAGCCATGGGGTGTGGAGCTCCACAATCCCTCGGCCATGCATTACGGCACAAAACTGGATGTCTGAACTATAAAGTATTTGTAAAGATTGTATCAAACTCAAATTATATAGAAAATATCTAATAGCCCCAAGGTTTAGAATACTCAGTTTTCAGTTTTGACAAGCATTTCCATATTCACTGTTTTAATATCTAGCATGCTATTCACAAGTTATTTTAGAATTGCCTCCTGCAAATTTTAATATTTTTCTATTTGTTAACTCTTCAGAAGTCTCATGGCATTGTTGAAACATCAGGCTTCATTTGTGGCTATTTATCGTGTGTGTTTTACTTGGGATCTAGAATTCCTCAGCTCTATAAAAATGTAAGTTTATTGGTTCTGAAGATAATGTGGCTACCTATAACATTGATAGATAAAGTGAATGATCAATTACAATCTCACTTCTAAAATCACTGTAGACCATGTCACACATATTATTTGCATATCCAAAATTACAAATCATCCATTTGCAATTTAAAGATAAAAATCTTAAAAATTATGCAAATGATCAGTAAACAGCAATTACCATGGAAATATCGGTTGAGCTATGTTTGAAATAAGCTGAATTTGCTAAATGCTTACTGGTTTTAACAGGGGAATTCCATTTCATTTAGATTTAGTTTATTGAGAGCAATGCTAGATTTCACTGATTAAAAAGAAACAGGATTGGAATAATTATAACAATTTCTTCAATATCCATCAAAAACTGATAGTTTTAATAGAGCTCATTATTTGTGCTGAGTCATTAAAAATTTCCTGAGATTAAAGATGGCAAGGCTCTAGATCTGCATTTGAGATTAATATTGAATATTTTTTTACAAATGAAGCCTTTCAAGGAAACATTATAATGTTGAGTGCTTTTCTTCAGGATTCAAGTTTCTAAGTCATCTTTTCAATACTACCCCAATTTTCCATTCTTTTAATGACCACTAATTTATTTTTGCTAAATATTGAATAATAAATAAGAATGATTCCAATTGGTGGTTTCTTTTTTTTTTTCTAATTTTGGAAGATTTAAGGAAGGACATACTAGACTCCAATTTCATGTATGTCCAATTTCACTATATTTGATTAATGTAGCTTTCTGTGTTCCTATTTTTGTGTTGAATAGGAACTGTGGACAACGTGAATTCAAAAGATTACAATGGTCATGAAACAGTTATTTCAAATACATGATAAATTACTTATAACACTGCTTTGCTATATTATCTTTTAGTTCCAAAGAAGATCGACAGATGGGACATCTTATCTTTTGTTTGCATTAGCCATGATAGGAAATGGCACATATGGCCTGAGTCTTGTCTTAAAGTTACCTGCAACACAATATCTTATAAGTCTTTATTTCTGGCATCATCTCCCTTGGTTTATTGGGAGCTTTGGAGTATTGTTACTAGATATTTTTGTATCCTTTTCTAATGAAAATTGATAATCTTATTAATTCTTAATTAAATTAATAGGACTTTGTTGACAAATGATAAAGTAATAGCTATTTATCTGAAATATTTTTAGGGTTTTACATGTGATAAGGACTGCTAGTTTTCTTCATCAGATTTTTGATCAGTTGGCATAAGTTTATTGTTATTACAGAACAGAATATATATGTAGACATTTTAGTTAAGATGAAAACGTGTTTATATATATAGCTTGAATCTGCTAATTATTTAGGACTTATCTACAAATAGTCCTGCATTTACTTGGTAGACCATATTTGAACAATTTCTGAATGAAAATTTAATAATATAGTGTGTTTCTGCAAATTAGCTTTATTCTAACATTTGTATCCTCATTTTTTAACTTTCTTATTACACAAATCTAGCATAATACAAAAAATCAATGTCTTCAGTGCTGAATCTCTGGCTTGTAATTATAATAAAATGTTTCAAATATAATTTAATATTCAAACTGTTTTTCCTTTCCCATTGTCTTAATCCTTCATAAAATAACTATCAGTGCTTACTGATAAGTTATATTTAATGTATAACTCAATACATTTTTCTTATTGTCCACACTGTAATTATTATATTCTAACAGCTGGTAGCAGGTAATTTTGTTGAGTTCAGTGTTCTTGTTGCAATAGTTTCTTTCTCATAGCAAAGCAATAAAAAGAGTCTGTTCTTTGGTTGATTTTACACACAAGCCCACTTAGCAGAAAGAAGTAATTATCTGGGTATCATACCCTTCCCTCCTCTAGGCTATTTTGAAAACTGTTGATATAGAAGTTAAGTGGCTTTATGTTTGAATTAGAAATGTCAAAAAGAGAAAAAGCTATACAGGTAGTGCTCAATTTACAACAGTTTATTTGGTGACCTTTTGAAGTTACAACGGCACTGAAAAAAGTGATTTAGGATCATTTTTCACACGACCGTTGCAGCATCCCTGCAGTCACGTGATTCCCTTTTGCGACCTTCTGCCAAGCAAAGTTAATGGGGAAACCAGAGTCTCTTAACAACTGTGTTACTAACTTAACAACTGCAGCGATTCACTTAACAGCTGTGGCAAGAAAGATCGTGAAATGGGGCAGAACTCACTTAAGAACTGTCTCACTTAGCAACAAAAATTTTGGGCCCAATTGTGGTCATAAGTCAAGGACCTGTATATTTCCCAGTGATGTATATTTCCCAATATTTTTATTTCAAAGCAGAAATGAAAATCTCTCTCCCCCCCCCATGTGTGTGTGTTTGTATGTTTCTCTCTTATCCTCGTGCAGTTACCTATTGCAGCTTTGGAAGCAAGGAACATTTTCTTGTCCAGCTCCAGAGAAGGGATAAGCAGTGAATATATGAATTTGTTTTTGTATATTTCCTTGTTTTTGTATATGAGTCGTAAGAGTAATTTTTGATTTTTCTTAAATTATGCCATTTTCATTTTCAAGTTGGTTTTTTTTCACCTCAATAACATTTCTCTTAACTTTACATCCAGATAACTGCACAATTCATTATATACAGACAACAAAACAAGAGACTTGGTTCAATGGCCTTGGAGGTGGAACCCTTGCTGATAAATGAAGATTCTTAATGTGCACATTTCTTTGGTGTCGCATTCTTTTAGAGTAACTTGGAACTCTAGTTAAGTAGATTGTTGATTTGCATAGATCAATTCTGGATCCCTGCCAGTATATTCATTCTGAAGTCTTGATAACTTTGTAAGCAGGGAATGGTGCTAATTAGGTTCTTAAGTGATTGCCATATTATTAACATTAGTCTTAAAGCTGATTTATGATTAATCTTAAATTATTGCAACAAGTAATGAAGCCAAAACTAAAAGTTCCAGGGCAACTACATTGCTTGGATTTTAAGAATTGTAACTCTTAGATATTACCCAATTTTTGGAACATTGGATACCAGTTATTGTTATTTCCCTTTTTTATTGGTGTTAATTGTTAAATAAATTTACAGTTGCATATATAGTTCTTGACAATTTATACAATGTAATGCATGCTAACCGTGGCCAATGCAATATCATTTACTAAAAAGCTTCCGGTACTGTATTTTTTTCCTTGTTTTGTTGAAGAACCAAACATAGGAAGAAGGGAAAGAAACCGTCATGATAACTCCTTTGAAGTTAGCATTTCATAATGATTTTTAGATGGATAACCACATTTCACAGTAATAGTGCACTGAAAGTCCCAGTCTCACATGAAAGTAAGAACAGTTTACTGCAGGAATAGAAAATCTTTCTGTTGAGGCTTACGGCAACATCCATCCATGGAGAATGTTTTGGAAGCAACATGCTGGCAGGCAGCAGGGCTGAAGAACTCCATGTGCTCCATCTCTGTCAGTACTTATTCCTAACATTTGTGGTTCCTCCTGCCAATATCTGAACAATGGGAATAAAGATGCTGTGCTCAGTATTTTAAAATGAGACTTGCAGCTTGAATGCATAGTTTTTGAGTGCAAATATCAATTTTAATTCCACAAGTGTTTGTTTTAAAGTCCCACTAAAAGAACTACAATGTGCTTTGGAGTTATCCCAGCATTGTGTTGAAAAACTATACTCTTTCTTTTGAGTTTTAATTTCAAAATATGCTAGCTGTTATCAGTTACCATAAAAGCTTAGCAAGTACTGAACTTAGCAAGTTTGAACTGTGGTTTTCTGCAGCTGGTTCCTTTGGATGGTTGCCTTGCTTCTAATCCTAATGAGACTCTTAGGTTTTATTATGTATTGCTGCTTAGGCTGGAATTAAGTACAGAGGGATGTTTGAGTCAACTTTTTAAAAAGAATTAAATATTGAGCAGCATGGAATGATGCGGCCAAATTTTACGTTTCTGTGTGCATTTGTGTATAAAAACATTGTTTCTTTTGACTAATATTGAATTTTAATTTAATACATTAAACTAAGCACAAATACATACTTGAAGAGTAGAGTCTGTAGGATAGCAGGGTAGAGAAAAAAAGGCTGTGAATTCCCAGGGCATCTCTGAAACCTGCTTTAGGTTTCAAATTCCTGGTAAGTTTGATTTAAATACATGTATGTCTTTGTTTAATCTTAAAGCATCTGACTTCTCCTCCTTGGTTCTTTAATAAATATAGTCAATTGGAAATGGGAGATGATTTAATTATTTGCCAAATGTGTATGACATATTGTCAAAATGGCTGAGTACATGATTATAAGGACAAGAAAGTTCCAGAAAAGGAAATACTTCACAACAGCTTGCAAAAATAGTTCCTTAAACTGCACCAAACTCTTCCTTTTCCGAAGAACCTGTTCTATACTGTCCCATCCATGTCCAAGGCTTCAGATTCTAAATGATTTCTTGGTTTACTGAAGGCTCTGGGAGGTGCAGTAGCACAAGCGATGTTTGAAGCATCACTGGAAAAAGTAAAAAATAACTCAAATCTGATGTCAGCATAGTTTCAGGCCAAGATTCAGACCTACTCCATAAAAAAACTTTCTTAAATATCAGTGGTTATTGGTCAGCAGCTGTGTTTATGGTGCCTAACTTCTCATTCCTACATGGCCACTGATCAGTTTTTTTACTAATACAATCATGCAGATTCATTTGAGTTTTGACTTCACATGAGTAAAGCCTAGGCTAATGCCTTGTTTTGTGATGTCCTCTGGGATGCATTTTGGCCTACTCTGATGGTGGAGAGGGTGCTCTCTAAGACGTCCTTTCTCATCAGTGGGCTGGATCTTCGTTCTTCCTGGGACCTTTGTGCAGCTGGGAAGATGGTTAGTTCCTGGATCTGGGAGATTGCTAATGCCTTGCTGTAGAAGGGGACATTGCCCATGGCCTTAAAGGAGATCATGGTGCATCTTAAGAGAGACTTGCTAGATCCAAAAGCATTAAGTATCCATTGCCTGGTCTCCAATCTTCCCAGTTTCTGAGAGTAAACTAATACTGATAATGAGCAAAGAATGAACATCTGACTAAGCTGAGTTCCTTACACTGGGTCCACGTGGCATCATTGGACTCCAGAAAAGTCTCTTTCTGTACATGTCATTTTCTCACTGCCTTAGCTAGCAACTGCTCTTGCATTCTTCCCTAAAAGGAAGGCAGGCAGTGGAAAGGGAAGGAGGTATGGTAGAGAAGGACAATTTGCTGTCATCTGTTTTGGGGAGGATGTATATTCTGTGTCTACTGCAGTCCAGTGGGAGTTTTCTGAAAACTTATGTAGAAGCTAGAACTATCATATACATCTTCATTCTGGAGGACCAGTAGATGGCAGCCAAGAAATGCAAAACCTGATCTAGATTCTTGTAGCCCAGAACTGCTAGCAATCATACAGAACATGGATATGTAAGTAAAGGGAGAGCTTTAGAAAAGGGAGGAGAGAAAAAGTGTTCTGAAAGTTCTCTGTGTTAAAGAAACATTTACTGGTTATTTGAATGCAAATGGTGGATTGTATCCTCTATCTCCACTAACGCAGAGGTTTAGTCTCTGATAAACGGTATTTAGATGCAGTCTCTTTATTGTGTCATTCATCCAGTACTTGCTGCAGATCATTTGGATTGACAGGAAACAAATGTGCAGATTGGTTGGGATGCATTCACATCTCAACCGAGTGATCTTTTCTGACACCACAAGGGGGCACTACATGTTCTCCAGGGATGTATTGAACCATTACGCCAAGCATTTCATTAAACTCATGTAAACTTGTACTGCTATCAGTTGCCAATCAACCTTCATACATATTTGAAATATTTCATAATTTCTCCCCTGTTCACTTACTTATATATATCTAAACCAACTTTAAATAAATGTTTGCATTCATACATTCCATTGTCATCTCATAAGACATGAATCTAAAGCTTTGCTTATGAATAAATACCTGTATGGCATTTACTCAATAAAGCTTATCATTAAATCTGGTCCACATAGAAAAATAATGTATTCTTGTCTCATTTTCTTATGAATCTGTAATTAGTAAATATACTTGCAGATTTGCAGTTGTCATATTGTATGGACAGTTGTGAGCTTCTGTTCATTTAGGAATTCACTGAAACTTTCAGTTTGTCAGGAGTGTCTATGTCAGGGGTATCAAACTTACAATGTCACGTGATGTGTTGTGATGTATCGTGATGAATCGTGACTTTTTTGCCATTGCTGGCAATGGGGTGGGTGTGGTTTCACTATGATGCATCTGGCCCGCGGGCCGGCAGTTTAACACCCCTAGCCTAAATAGTTCCATATATTTAGTAGAATTTTTGTTTTTTGGGGGTTGGGTCAGGGTAAACACATTAAACCCAGAAGACAAGATGCTAGAGAAAGCAATTGAATGCTTTGATGGCAAGGAGATAGATGAGATTAAGATTAGGATTTTTGTTGGGACAGACCAATCAAGCAGGAAAGGAAAAGAAGTATAGGTCCACTTTTTAAAATTATATGGTTATTTTTTGTTGTGTGTTTGTGTGCAGGCAATCCAGTTCAACAAAAAGCAAATTTAATGCAAGCACAATTGTTAATGAGTATAAATTGCAATGCAATTGCAAAAATGTCAGTTTCATAAAATACTGCAATATGGGCAAACAACATGACTACAGAAACACCCATACGTTTCAGCAAGGTTTCCAAGGGTTCTGTCTGCAGGTCTGAGGGTAGGGAAATAAAACCATACAATATTCCCATCTATAAACTCCTTGTAGTAAATGTAATAAATATTGGGAAAGGTGTCTATACAATAAAATAGAATTCCAGGGCAGGAGAAAATTAGTAGAGGAAAAAGAAACCAAGAGGAATGCATCCATCAATACTTCCCAATATAAGAAGCATTTTGTAGAATAACAATCCAAGGTGTGTTTATTTAGGAATAAGCCCCTAATGTGTTCAGTTGTACTTATCCTCAGGTAAATAGTGCAACAATCTTAAAATTGAATGTTTTTATAAGTTCTCGGTGAAATTGTGCTTGGGCAGCATTTCTACACAATGATACAACATGTTCTTATAACTGGAACCCTTCCCCCCTTTTTTAAGGATTCTGAAGGCTATTAGGAAGTGGCACCAGCAACATTATGACATCATTGGAGTGGCTGACTCCAAATCTGGAAACTAGTTATTGGGGGGCATTTTTAAAGGAAAGAACGGGTGCCTTACAAATGGATGCCTCTGGGCTTTTATTATTGCTTTTCAGCATCTTTTGGAAACAAACAAACAAAAATGGACTGACACTACATGCTGCATGATTTGGGGAGTGGTCCTGCGGGGTACAGACTGGTCATGGGTAAGTTCATGGGATTTATGTGGCTCACAGGTGGTAACATTCAGAATGCAGAAGTAAGGAGAAAGGATTTGCAAGGCAGAATCAGATGGTAGAAGGGCAGGGATTATTTTCCACCCTATCTGAAGACATCAGTTTATTTTTCCTTGCAAACATTTCAAACTGGATATAAACATATGATGAGATAATTCAGACTTTGGCCCTCAGCACTGTACTAGCAAGAAATAAAACAGCAAATGCACAATCAAATGCTTGAAGATTGTTGTCTGAATTTTCAGTAATTCATGAAAGACAAATAAAAACAGTTCATCCAATAATAATGGAAATAAACAAAGCCTTTCCAACCCTGGCTGCTCTTTTCAACAAATGTCAGTAAATCAATATTTTTCAAGTTCTCAACATTCCATTTGATTTCTGAAAGGCAAAAATCATCATCTAAAGTAGAAAAAATGTAAGGTTTTTTTCGTCTCATCAGCAGATCTTGGCCTCTGACATATTGAAAAGATTTCTGTGCATTGCTAAGGCAGACTTTTTGAAACTGGGGGAAGATGAACTTTTCAGAAATGGAAATGTCTGTTTTGATAATGTCTTTAAAACAGCTTGCATTACTTGACACTTTCAAGTTAGCCCAGGGAGATCTCTAGGGTAATTCTCAGACACCTTAGATGGCTCTAATCCTACTGAACTTAATTGGACTAAATCCGTGTAAGCTGTCTCCTGCTCAAAATTTCATTGTTCATTCACTTAGGAAGCTTATCAGTGTAACTGGTGAAGCTTCTTTCTCTTCAGTTCCACTCCTAGGACTGCATTTGATAAGGTAGTTACAAT